TGGTGCGCGCCGGCGACTGCGGCGACAGTCATTCATCAGGTCCCCGTGCGCCGTGTCGCCCGCCCTCCGGGCTCTGCCCGTCTCCCTCACCCTCTCGCGGGCTCCCGAGCTCTCCGAGCGCCTCCCTCCTGCCTTCCTCCTTTGCATTCTCTTTACTCCCCTCCGCCCCCGCCCCCTTGTCCTGCTTTCCTTTATTGATTGACTCAACATAGACTTCTGAGGCCCCGGCCACCAGGCATGAAATCGCAAATCAAACAGGATCCTCGTCTGATGGAAACCGCGTTAGCCGGGGAACCTCGGTGCCTGGCCCTGAGCTCTGCGCGGCGCTGTTCAGATGGCCCCCGCCCACAGGGAGTCCTGGTCTAGCGGCGAGTAGACAAGGGACCCGCTGTTACAGCTCCAAATCTACAGTCCTCCCCCGCCGCGCAGAGCTGGGCAGGGCAGGGTCGGGGCTGACCTAGTGGGGACGGGGCAGGGAGGCCGCTCCGAGAAGCCAGGTTTGAGCCAGGCCTGTGGGAGAGAATAAGCCAAGAGTGTCGATGGGATGTGGCTTGGGTTCCAGGGGAACAATGCATGGGTGGGTTCTGGGAGCAAGAGTGGGCTGGCCTGCCCACAATCCATCTGTCCCTGTCCTAGAACCGACTGCTTCCATGTCCCCGAATTCATTTCTCTCATGGCCCAGAATCATCCTCATTCTGACCAGAATCCACCTCTCAACCCGGTCCCAGGACCCCCCTCGGGTACTTGAGTTAAGTATCTACCTCAACGGGAGTGGCCTAGAATCCACCCACTTCCTGTCTCAGAATATGAATATGAATTAATATTGTCTTGAAGTCCTGCAATTGTCTTGGACACACACCTCCGTCCTTTCCCAGAACCCATCTCCACCACATTGCAGAATCCGTCTCCTCCATGTCCCAGAACATACCTCATCTCTGTCATCTCTGCCTTTTCACAACTCCAAAGGCAGAAGAAATTTTTTTTCTCTTTCACTCTGCTAAAATAGACCCAAAAGCATAGATTAAAACTATAAAATGCACTCACATTTGCTCAGAATGTGGGTCCTCAACACAGGTATAGGAGTGAGAAAGGTCAAACAGAACTTCTCTCTTTCCTGTCTGCCCAGAGTGGTTGAACCCGGGGAGGATGGAGAAGTAAATGTCCTGTCGCACATTTAGAAAGTTGCTCAAATTTAGCCTTTTCCTAGGGCCCTTAAACATTCAGACACAGCATCACCATGGTAGACTTGGAAAAGAAAGCTATTTTTCATATAGTGGTAAATGTGCGTTCCATTCCTGGACCATACCATCTGTACTACATTATGAATTAATATTGTCTGTAAATCCTATAATTATCTTTGACCAGTGCAATTATGTTGCTCTGTATTTGCTGAGAGTATTTATTTGTTCTGTGGCAATAAGATACACACAGTTTTGCTAACCCTGCTGGCCTTATTATTTTTTTTTTAATTTGCTGGGAGTTTCAGAAAATGAAAATGACCCAGTCCTCTGTCAAGCTTGGTGACCTTAGTAGGTGAGCTCTTCTGGAACAGGGTGTTCAGGCCTTCCAGAGGGGACTTTTGCATGAAAGCACCAGATAAATTGTCACTGTGCTAATGGAGGAGCTGAGATGAGGACCAAGTGCTTCTAAATTGCCTGCCTTCAGCTTGGCTGCCAGATGCACCCTCCCCCTCTCAGAGCTTCCTCTAGGGCAGTCACTCCCGACCCACTCAGAGGCTGCAGACCTATCATTACACCATCTCAGGCACTGATGGGGGCCACCCAACTGCCATCTCCTGCAGATGGAGTCACTGGGGGCTTGGAGAGAGACTGTGCCTTGCTCCATTAAGGTCACAGCAACTCGCCAGAGTATGTGTGGACTTGAGGAAAGGTCAACTGGTGCATTGAAGGCTCTGGGATAGCCATTTTGGTGAGCGATTTGATAGCATTTGTTAAAATAACAACAATGGTGTACATATTAAGAACCAGCGGTGTCACTCATTTCTACCTGGAGAAGTTCGAGGGTAGCTGGAGGAATGGTTGTCTTCTCATATGACATAATACAGCCAAGTTATTAGAATGAGGACATGTGTACTTGTGACAACATGGAAAAAAAATACAGAACAAATTACAGATTGACAAAGCAGAATTACACTTGTGTGATTTGAACCGTGGAGCACGAACATACATACATGTGGGTATAGGCGTGTTCTATTAAAATTTAAAATGTTACAGTTTATAAATGCAAAGAAAGTCCCTCTTAGGAAGCAGATCGAATTCTATTTATTTTAGTAATTTTTTTTTGTAGTTGTAGATGGACAACATGCCTTTTCTTTATTTATTTTTAAGAGGTGCCGAGGATCAAACCCAGTGCCTCCCCAGGGCTAGGCAAGTGCTCTGCCACTGAGCTACGGCCCCGGCCACCTCGGTTCTTAAGAGTTATAACTTCAAGGAGGGTTAAGGAAGAAAAAAGAGGAATGGTGGATAGAAGAACTGCATTTTCTATAAGGTTTCAATTTGATATTTTCAGAAACATATAAATGCTCCTGGAACACAATGCCAAAAGGATTTGCATTTGCAAATGTAGAGAAGTAGTTTCACTTTTAAAAGGGAGTATTTGTGATATTAAAATGGATCATGTTCAATAAAAGAAAAGCTTACATGACATTAAAAATTATTTTTCTAGAATGGAAATTGCTCAACACCAGAAGTTCTCATAATAGAATTCATCATATTAACCAATTAAAGAAAAATAACTACACCGTCATCCTCATAGATGCAGAAAAAGCATCTGACTAAAGTCAAATATACTTAGCAAACTGGGACCAGAAGGAAGCTTTTAAAATTTGATTAAAAGTATGTGTCAAAAATCTACCACAGTGCAGATTAATATCCCTCATGAGCATAGATTTGGAGTTCTTAACACAGAATAGCAAATTAAATTTAGCTACATTAGAAAGGATAACACATCTGCAGAAGGATGAATTCAGCTTCTCTTTGTTCTTGGCTTCTGGGTGATACCTCTACTCTGGAATTTTCTAAAAGATAGCATCTTTTTTCTTTTCAATTCTTTTTTCCCTTTCTTTTCTTTCCTTTCCTTTCTTTCTTTCTTTTCTTTTTTTTTTTTTTTTTTGTGTGTGCAGGGGACAGAACCCAGGACCTCATGCAGATGAGGTAAGCACTTTGCTACCACAAAGACACACCCCCACTCAACAGAATTTCTTTTTCTTTTCTTCCTTCGCTGTGCTGGGGATGGGCCTCATGCATGCCAGGCAAGTGCTGCCCCGTGGAGCTACATCCGGAGCCACAAGAGTGCCTTTGTTATTTGTGGTGGGTATCTCAGACCCCGACTGATGGTTTCTGCCAATGGGTGATTCAGAATGGCCACACCAGAAAGACCAGGTATGTGACTAGAGGGTTGAGGCTTTGAGTCAAATGAAATCAGCTGCATCTTCTGGGGAGGAAGGGGCCTAGAGACTGAGGTCAGCCATGTGGCAGTGACTCAGTCCATCTTGTCTGCATGCAGGAGCCAAGAAGGACCCCGAGGCTTGGGGGCATTACCCATTTTCCAGTCCTCTAAGCATTGTCACACTCTGATGCCCAGAGAGTAATGTGACCCTGAGAACAAGGAAGCTTCACGCTTGGAACCCTCCCAGACTTTGTGCAGTGTCTCTTCTTCCGGTTCTTTCTGACTTCTGTCTTTTGTTACAATAGGACAGTAATTGTGAGTAGAATGCTTTCCTGAATTTTGATTTTACTGAATAATCAGACCTGAAGGTGTCTGTGGGAACCCCCCAATTTGTAGCCAGCTGGTAGGAAGTGAGGAAGGCCTTGGGAACCTGCACTCTTGCAGTTGGTATTAGGCATGAGGACAATCTTCCAAGGACAGTGCCCTCAGACCTGGCAGCTTGGCACACAGTGCATTGCCATGTGGCCTGGCAGAGCCGATCCCAGGAATGCAAGGTTGGCTCAACCTCGGAAATCCACACCCCACTTCACCTGATGGACGGAATTTAAAAACCCTAGGATCATCTTAAAAGGGCAGAAAAACAATTGGACAAAACTCAACAGCCTTTCCTAAGAACTCTCAGCAGAGTAGGAATGGGACTCCATCAACCTGCTGAAGAGCATTATGATAGAAATTAAGAGAATGCTTTTGAAAATGTAGTCAGAGTATTATTGTTCAGAACTGTGGTGTGTGTCTGTGCCCGTGTGTGAGTGTGTGTGTGTGTGGTGTGTGTGGGGGGGTTACACTGGGTCCCAGTGTAGAATTCATTTCTGATAGTGGGTGGCAGTCAGGTCATTCTGAAAGCCTTGGCCCTGGAGAATGTTCCAGGGTGGGGGGACAAGGTCAGGAGTGTTTGTTGCTGTATTTCTGAAAAGTTAGAGATAGCCAACATTCATCAAGGGAAAATGCACAAATAAATTCATACAAAGGAATGTGATAGAGCAGTTAATGTGCATGAGCCAGGGCTGAGAGAAGCAAATCTGCAAAATATAGTGTTGAGCTAGAGGAACAAATTGCAGAAGAGTATTTGCAGTACTTTATATGTGGATTGTCTTCGGGGGGGGGATACTATTAGTATTAATGTAAATACTATATGCCTATAGTATTTAGTAGTATATTTTAAAATATATAAATAAATATAAATATATTTTTATATATTTTTATAGTATATATAAGCATATATATATATACACACACACTAAATGGAATATGTACTAATAGGAGAAATCCTGCATGAAGTTGGTCAACACAAATTCAGGGTAGTGGCTACTTCTGGGAAGGAAGGGAGGCAGAGAGGGAAATGAGATTTGGGAAAGGCACACCAAAGAGCTTCAACAATATTTACAATATTTTATTCCTTGAAAAATACCAAAGCAAGCTGAGCATGGTGAAGCAAACCTACAATCCCAGCAACTCAGGAGGCTGAGGCAGGAGGATGGCAAGATCAGGGCCAGCCTCAGCAACTTAGAGAGGCCCTAAGCAATTCATCAAGACCCTGTATCAAAATAAAAATAAATAAATAAAAAGGACTGGGGATGTAGCTCAGTGGTTAAGCACCCTGGGTTCAATCCTCAGTACCAAAAAAATCAAACAAACAAACAAAAAACCCAAGGCAATAAAGCAAAATGTTCACATTAGATAAAGTCAACTGGCCGGTATGTAAATGTTTGTTCTTATTTTTTTTTTTTTTGTCCAAATGGTTGAATGTTGCACGATTATAAATTATCAAACAGCAGTTCGACTATGTAAAATTAACTTTGTTTGTGGAAGTTTGGGCTGCAGGCTTTCAATATGGCTTGAGTTATTTGGGGATAAGCAAGAGCAGTTGTTGCTAGTGTATCTCAACAGGCAGGTCCCGTGGGGATAATGGCAGAGAGGGACAGAGAAAGCGGGTGATGAACGCACACTCAAGTTTCCTAGTTGCTTTCCTCTGAGGCCATTGCTCTTGTCAGCTTGATAAGTTGGCCTTCTATATTTGGGGACTAGGTGGTCCTAGGACTAAAATAAGTGCATCAACTGCTGCTGTGCAGGACCCCAAATAAAAGTTGGGGAGCTTCACTCTGGGAAATATCAAGGTAAACCTGGGTCGGAAATCCTGGGAGCCAAGTTTGCCCGTCTATCCGAATGGGTCTCTCGCATCAGGATGACGGGATCTGGCTGGTTGGCTCAGAGCCGGGAGTAATTCTATCTGTCCAGAAAGCCGAGTCACACGCAGGTGTTACAGAGGGATGAACGCGTTCCAAGAACGAATCGTAATCACCTTGAGCTGATCCAATAAAGTACTGCTCACATCTATTTAGCGTTTGAGCAGATGATGGGCCTCCTGCTTACGGTGCAGGGAGGGAGAGCCAGACACCGCCTGCTGCTGGGGAGTCCGAGAGGACTTCTTCCCACAAGGGCGTTGGAGTGTTGGGGGTGGGGGTGGGGGCAGGTGCTGTGTACTGAAAGTAGGGTTCTCCATGTGATCATGTTGACAGGTGGTGGAACCTTCGAGAGCTGCCCCTAGTGGGAGGTGACTGGGTCATTGGGAGGCATTAACATAGGTCTCCAGGGGCCCCTGCTGGTTTCTCCAGAGAAAGGAACAAGCCTGGACCAGGAATCCCTCTGGCTTCCCGCCTCACCGTATGGTCTCCTGTTAGAGTGCCACCTCATCGTGGGATTTCCTGTTAGAGTGGCACCTTGTAAGGCAGCCCTGGGGGCCCTCACCAGAAGCCAAACACACGGGGTTGCCCAGTCTTGGACTTTCAGTCTCCAAAACTGTGAGTTCAATAGACTTATTTTCTTCACCAAGTACCTAGCTTCAGGTGTTTTGTTATAGCCATGGAAAACTGACCCGTACATCATGCAGAAAAGGTCAACGTGAGATCCTAAATGTCTGCCAGGTGGGACAATAGAGATGAGACTGGTGCCCAGGTTCAGATACGATCTTTGAGCGAGTCAGCCCCATAGGAAACTTGGATAGAACTTACCACCTAAATGAACTAGATCTTGTCTTAAGGACACACTTCAAAGCATGAGTCATGAGCCTTTCTTGGTGCTAACAGACTATGACTGGTTATAGGTTTCCATTTTTGTTTCCAGTTGGGAGCAATAGTAAAATTACCTACAGCCAGTACACAAAGCCAACAGCCGTGAGTACAAAACCAGGCATGTCTATAGACACTGACCCATGTCAGCCCCAGACCAAGTTGTACAGAAATCTAATCTTCAAAAAAAATTCTTCTGTGCCACATCGGAGCCCAGGAGCAAATATAGTCCTCAAAAGCTCCCAGCTCGAGGGGACAAGCCTCTTCCCCCTGTGAACCTGTATGTTCTACATTCCCAACAGGGGATCCACTCTGTTTCTCAGGTACTTCTGAACTCCAGGAAGTCAGGTGGGAAGACTCCCTTTCCATACGCTCATCCAACACGTAATTATCAAGTGGACGCGACGCTGAGCGAAGGCATCCGGGAGCGTCCGTGTGAAATCCAGGAGCAAGACAGGTTGAATGTGATCTGCACAGAGTTTGGGGTTTTGTTTGTTTGCTTTTGCTTTGTTTTTGGTGCTGGGAATTCAGCTCAGGCGTGCTCTACCACAGAGCTACATCCCCAGCCCCTTTTATCTATTGACTTATTATTTTTTAAATTTTTTAGTTGTAGATGAACACAATACCTTTATTTTTATTTATTTATTTTCACATGGTGCTGAGGATCGAACTCAGTGCCCCACACGTGCCAGGCGAGCGCTCTACCTCTGAGCCACAAGCCCAGCCCCTAATTTTTTATTCTGAGACAGGATCTTGCCAAGTTTCCCAGCCTGGCCTTGAACTTGGGACCCTCCTGCCTCAGCCTCTGGAGTAGCCGGGGATAACGGGAGTGTGCCGCTGTGCCTGGATGGACAGGTATTTCTTTTTTAAATATCAGAACATCAAAATCAAAACTTTGGGCTGGGGATGTAGCTCAGGGGTGGTGACTTGCTTAGGATGCACGAGGCCCAGGATTCAATCCTCAGTGCTGAAAAAAATGAAGAATAAGACACTTCGAGTTGTCTTGAAGAAGGGCAACATCTTGCCACAAGGGTCCAGAGTTCTGGTGTGTGGCTTGCCACCTGGCCACCCAGGACCCGTTGCTCCTGAGCACCACGGCTGCTGTCCCTTGTCACCCGGTGTGTTTGCACTGTGTGTTTATGGTGAGGCAATGTCGCCCTGGTCCCTGCCTGTGTCTCAGGTGGAGAGACAGAAGCCAGACCAGGAGAGCTGCGTGGCGCTCATTAGCGGCCCCTCCCTTGCTTATGTAACCTGCCATTTCCCACAGACTCTCCAGTTTGCAGCTTCGTGATGCTCAAAAAATAAAATCCATTTAAAAAATGGATGTCCACTGGGGAGTCTGTGGGAATGAGGGTTGCACTTGACGATCTGTGAGATTCTCAAAGAGCAGGCCTGGCGTGTGCAGGGATCGGCAGGGAGACCGTTGTGGCTGGGGTGGGACCGAGGAAGCCCACAGGGAGAGGGGTCTGCAGGGCAGCTCACGCCTTCTCAGCCTCACGTAGGAGTTTGGATTTTGTTCCAAATGATGGACCACGGGTTCTGCTCAAGACGGCCAAAGGATTCTTGTCTAGGCTTGGTGGCTCTCGCTATGCAGAGTGGGAGGGGTCTGCTCTGCTCTTACCTAAGCATCAGCATCACTCTGGTGTCCACAAGTCGGGCCAGGGGTTCTTTTTTTTTTTGGAATGGGGGTAGCACTGGGGATTGAACCCAGGGGCCCTCAACCACTGAGCCCCACCCCAGCCCTATTCTGTGTTTTATTTAGAGACAGGGTCTCCCTGAGTTGCTTAGGGCCTCGCTGTGGCTGAGGCTGGCTTTGAACTCGAGATCCTCCTGCCTCAGCCTCCCAGCTGCTGGGATGACAGACGTGTGCCACCGAGCCCGGCCATGGGGTCTTTTGACAAGGGTTGAATAAAGGAGTCTGGTAGAGTTGAAGGAGACCTCAGGAGCACACAGTAGAGCAAGTCACCATGGGGAGATGTCACTCCTTGGACCTGGGTGGAAAGACAGGGTGGCTACCAGAACCTGGAGAGAGGTGGCCGGGGACTGATTGGAGAAGGCTGTGCTTCTTCCAGAAAAAAAGCAGAAGGAATGGGCTCTCCCTGCGCCTTCCTTTCTCCTCCTGGGGATCCCCATGGGCTGTACCCAGCCGGCAGCCGGAGAAGAGGGAGCCCATTGGCAGAATCCCCACCTTCAACCCCCCAAGGGGACTGAGATGGGGAGGAGGAGGCCAGGCGGGGGCCTGCTGAGGGGCCAGGGGAGGGTGCTCGTTTGCCGTTTGGGGCACGGGACAAGCAAACAGCACCCCTGGCCCCAGCAGCAGGGCAAGCCGGGGCGTGGGGGCTGCCACCATGGATCTCGACCAGCTCCTCCCGCTTCAGGGCCCAGGAAACTCCAGGCTGCAGGGAGCCCAGGCAGAGAGCGAGGGACACGTTCATCCTCTGGCTTTCAGAGATGAGCCATTCAGGTGCCAACTCGGAACAGCCGAGACGAGCCAGAGGCACCTTGGGTTGGCCGGCTGTCCCTCGAGCGATGTCCCTGATCTGCTCTTACAGGAATCTGCAATCCTGTGAAAGCAGCCTGGGGCATGACTCACCGGTCCCTGTCCAGACCGCTGCTTCTGCTGTGTGCCACCCCGGCCGGCTCCTCTGCAGCTGCCATCCGAGAGGGCCTTGCTGCCCGCACCCCGAGAAGAGCCGGGAGCTGGAGCCAGCATCGTTCCCTGGCCAGCTGCCTCTGCGTGCTGCAGGTGGCAGGATTTCCTGGTTTCAGGGAGAAGGAAGCAAGCGTGAGGGGACCACACAGAGGTGACTCGTCACCGTCACGTTCTTACAGGCAGAAAGGTGAGCAGCAAGAGGTCACACCTGGGAACCCGCCACCCATCCATGTTACAAGCTCAGACACAGTAAAAGGACTTATTTAGACACAGGGTCTCCCTGAGCTGCTTAGGACCTCGCTTTGGCTGAGGCTGGCTTTGAACTCGGGATCCTCCTGCCTCAGCCTCCCCACCATTGGGATGACAGGCGTGTGCCACTGTGCCTGGCCATGGGGTCTTTGACAAGGGTTGAGTAGAGGAGTCCGGTAGAGTTGAAGGAGACCTCAGGAGCACACAGCAGAGCCGACCCTGCCTGGCGGGCCTCCTTAATTAACTGGTTCTCAGGCACTGGGGGCTTTGCAGAAGCCTGAGTTGGATGCACGCGGGTTTTGTTCAGTCTTTTTGTTTTTCTGGGTGCAAACTTCATTTTTTTTCTTGTGCTGTCTTTTTGTCTTATCTCCCCCTTGCTTGTACCTGTCTAAGGGGGTAATTTATCAGCCCTGCCAGATTCCGTCTCCTCCATTCAGTGACAGAGAAGGCGGGCGGTTGGGTCACGACTGATTGTTGCAATCTCAACCTACCGCTGACACATCTGACCTACCTAGAACTCAGAGCTGCCAGCGGTGACGTCGTCATGGTCTCTGTCACCTTGAGATGCCCTGCTCGGAGTCGTTGCCTTTCTAGGCTCCCACTGCCCCTGGTGGAGGAAAACGAGGGTCGCATTGTCGTGGACGTTAACTGAGGCGGTACAGGCGCGTGGCCAGCACATCCTGGCTGACGGTGGCTGTGCATTTTGACTCCTAGGGTTCTCGCCTCCTGATCCGCGACGCACACCTGTGCCAACCTTCCCCGCCAGCTGCTCACCCCAGGGCCTTGCTGGCCCCGAGGCTGCAGGGACCCGAAGAGCCCAGCTGTCCTCTGGGGACTTCCTGACTCCTTCCTGCCGTCACCACGGAGCCCTGCCAAGCCCCCCGACAGGCTGGGCCGTGTGCACCCATTGGCTGGGGAAGTCGTATATTCAGAGCCGTGAACTTGGACGGGGGAGGGGGGACTGGGGGTGGAATATGAGAAACTGTGGAATATGAGGGTGTGTGGGGGGGTCCTCATCCGCTGAGAAACCACAGAACGGCTGAGAACCCCGGGGAATGAAAACGAAGCATCCCTGATGGGGCTGGAGAGATTCACCCGGCACACTGAGGGTCCCCAGTGTGGATGGGATTTAAAGGGATTGGGTCTCTACTCAAATGCCACTCATCAGAGAGAACCTTTTTTTTTTTTTTTTTTTGGTATTAGGGATTGTACCCAGGGTATTTAACCATGGAGTCACATCCCCAGCCCTTTTCATTTTTTATTTAGAGACAGGGTCTCACTGAGTTGCTTAGGTGCTCTCTAAGCTGCTGAGGCTGGCCTCCAACTTTTGATCCTCCTACCTCAGCCTCCCGGGCTGCTGGAATTACAGGTGAGCACCACGACACTCAGCTTTACCATTTGCTTTTGAGCTTCCCTGCAGCCCAAGCAAAAATGGAAGTACAAGCAGTGATTGACCACTTCCCTGGGTAGAAACAAACCAGATGCTCAGGAATCAAGGAAGGAAACGTGTTCTTAGGGAACCAGAGCTTCTACTCCTGCAAAAGCCCATCTCCGGGGCAGAAGCCAGGCGTCTGCATTGGCCAGCTGCTCAGCTGGCCCTGGGGCAGATGTTTTGAGAACAGGACCTTTCTGGGGAACTGACGGCTTCCCCCGATGCTGTCTCCTTTCTCTCTGGACTTCTCCTTGTACCTCAGGGTCACATTGTCACACCTCAGCACGCCATCTCTGGCTCTTCACGTCCTCATAGGTCCCCTTGGCGAGCCCCCCAAAAAACAATGATGGAAAGAAAGAGAGAAACTTCTCCAAACCTCTCCAACCAAAAAATGACTCTCTGGGCCTCCCAGAACACTCCTTCCAGAACATTCTACCTGCCTGCACACTGTAAAAATATTTTTTTGCCTTAAGGTATGTGTCGTTCATGGTCTAAAAGTCTCTTGCCTCTTATTTCTAAACCATCCTCTGTGTTTGTGTTGTTCACTTTAGAGAGTGAACTTCAGAGACAGGGACAGCGACTTCTGTTTTGGGGCCCCTGTTCTATGAAGGGTCTTAACTCATTGACTAATTAACAGCCCCAGCTGGGCCCCCGTAGGTGCTCGACACGGGAAACCGACGTCAACTAGACAGCGGTAGCGGCTTGTCGGAAATGCATCCCCGGGTCCCCCCCTCCCCCCGCCCAAGACCGGGGCCTGTAGAGAGAGGAGCTCTCCTAGTTGTACGGCTCTCACTTTCCTTCCCGACTCTTGTCTTCTTTCCTTACCTGTCAGCATTGTCTGTGTCTGAAAGAACTGACTCAGCTCAACTCGGGACGGGCTGGCCACTGTCCATGCTCAGGTGCACACAGAGGTGGGGGGCTGCAGGGGGAGCAGAAGGAGGAGCAGACACGATCTAATCCAATGAACCTCGCTCCTCCCTCCACTCCTCCCTTCCCCCCTCCCGCCTATTGTGAGTCAGCATCTGCATGTCAGAGAGGACATTCAGCCTTTGGTTCTTTGGGATTGATTTATTTCACTTAGCATGACACTCTTCAGTTCCATCCATTTACTGGCCAAATTTCATTCTTCTTTATGGCTGAGTAATATTCCATTGGGTAGGTGTACGACATTTTCTTGATGTGTTCATTTGCTGAAGGGCACCTACGTTGGTTCCAGAGCTTAGCTATAATGAATTGAGCTGCTAGAAACATTGACGACATCACGATAGATGCTGAGGTATAGACTGAGGAGTAGGATAGCTGGGCCAAATGGCAGTTCCATTCCAAGTTTTCCGAGGAATCTCCATGCTGCTTTCAGAGTGATTGCACCAATTTGCAGTCTTACCAGCACTGTGTGAGTGGGCCTTTTCCCCCACATCCTCGACAACATTTATTGTTAAGTATTCTTGACAATTGCCATTCTGACTGGAGTGAGAGGGAATCTCGGTGTAGTTTTAATTCTCTTTTCTCTAATGGCTAGAGATGATGAACATTTTCTCATCTATTTGTGGATCAACTGTATTTCTTCTTCTGTGAGGCGTCTGTTCCGTTCCTTGGCCCATTTATTGACTGGGTCACTTCTTCTTCTGGGGCTGGGTTTTCTGAGCTCTTTATAGATCCTGGGGATCAGCGCTCTCTCTGAGGTGCAGGAGGCAAAGACTCTCCCCACGCGGTCGGCTCCCTCTTCAGGTCTGTAAAGGAATCCTTTTGTGAGCTTCTGGGGAAGTCAGAACCCAGTCCTGTGCCGTGGTGCTCACCCAGGTCTAGACTTGACGAGGAAGAGCAGAGCCTTCGTGCATCTGGTGTGGTCATGAACTTGGGGGCCAGGATGCCCCAGCTCCTGAAGAGGCGGGACAGTGGAGGCTGTGCCTGGGCCCAGCCTGACCTGGGGTGGGGGGGCCAGCAGGGAAGCAGCAGAGGCCTTGGCTCTAAAGTGGTGTCCGGTCTTTCCATCGGGGAGAGCGTCCATTATGGCGGACACAGTCCACCCCTTGAGCTCCCCAGCTCTCCCTGTGGCTTCGCATGGTGTCCAGCTTCTGTACTATAACACCTGGCCTGGTCTTTTTTGAAACCAAGGCTACGGCATGGAGGGTAGACCTGAGGAAGGTCAGTTCAGCAGCCGAGAGATCAGCTACTGCAATGGTCTTCGCAGGAGTAGTGACCATGCACCTAGGACAGGGGTAGTGGCAAAGGCAAGGAGCCAGAGAACTTGAGAGACATCTGGGGGTAAGCCAACAAGGTCCGGAGACTGACAGATGCTGAA